TTATTATTATTATTATTATTATTATTATTATTATTATTATTATTATTCCAAAATGCAGCTGCCAGAGTTTTAATGATTGAAGAAAAAAAAATGTGAAGAGGGCCAAAATCAAAAGAAACATTAAAGCTGCTTGCTTTGGCTCATTTGGGTCATCGTGGTAACCACACACCTGTGTCTGTCACTCCCTGACAGCAAAAGTCAGGTAGACAAAGAAAAACAACCTGTATTTAAAGGCCTAGCATTCCTGGAAAGTCTGTAAGTCACCCACCAGCTTTCAAGCCATATTTTTACATCCCAGCTGATGAGCAGAGCTGGCCTTACAGCCGTTCAGTCCCACCCTGGAAAGGACGAGGGATACTGTCAATCAAAGTGACTGACACTCAAAGTGTGTGTGGAGGACGACTGTCAGAAGTTGTCTCAGGGCACTGAACAGGAGCATTCATATACATAAAAAAAAGACAATTAGTAAAGTTCTCTATCTAAGGAAGCAGCAGATTGTGTTGAATCTTCACTTCGTCACAGTCTCTCATTCTGAGCAAGCACAAAGGAGACCGTGGAAATGAAAAACTTCCTTTTAGCAGGAAGAAACCTCCAGAAGAACCAGGCTCAGGACAAGCAGCCATCTGCTTTGACCAGCTGTAGTTTGAGAAGACAGGAAGGAGAGACAGACACAGAATAACAGGTCCAGGTGAACTTTCTATAGGAGGAGAGGAAAAAAAACATGTTAAGATAGAAGTAATTACAAATATAAACAAATTTGGTGACTTTTGGGATATGTTAAGGTCTCCAAAACGCCAATTCATTTGGCAGAAAAAATTGCAGCTCGGGCCTGAACAGAGCGATTACAATAGGTCTTCGCAGCGCTTCGCTGCTCGGGCCTAAATATCCATCCATTCATCCATTATCTTTTACTCGCTTCTTCCTTTTTGGGTCACGGGGATCACTGGTGCCCATGTCCAGCAGTCACTGTGCAAGAGGCGGGGGACACCCTGGACAGGTCTCCAGTCCATCACAGGGACATATAGGGACAAACAACCATTCGCTCTCTCACTCACATCTAGAGACAATTTAGAGTCACCAATCAGTCTGACATGCATGTTTTTGGTCTGTGGGAGGAAACCGGAGTACCTGGCACATGCATGGAGAGAACCCGCAAACGCCAACCAGAAAGGCCCCCAGACCGGGATTTGAACCAGGGTAACTTGCTCACTGAGAAGCAGCAGCTCTACCAGTTGCACCACCGTGCTGCCCAATATAAACTATTCATTTGAGGAAATGTGGTCAATTTGTCCTCCAGTGGTCTAAGTCTATAGCAGCCTAACAAGCCAACCCTAAAGGATTTATCAAAAAGGAAATACTTAAGCCTAATCTTAAAAGAAGACAAGGTGTCAGCCTCACAGACAGAAACTGGAAGTTGGTTCCACAAGAGAAGAGCCTGATAACTGAAACTTCCATTCTGCTTTAGGAAACTCTAGGAACCACAAGTAAACCTGCAGTCTGAGAGTGAAGTGCTCTGTTAGGAAAATATGGAACAATAAGATCTATAATATAAGATGAAGCTAGGTTTTTGAGAGCTTTGTAGGTTAGAAGAAGGGTTTTGAATTCAATTCTGAATTTGACAGGGAGCCAGTGGAGAGAAGTAAAAACTGGAGAGATATGATCTCTCCTATCAACTTTCATTAAAGCTCTGGCAGCAGCATTTTTGATCAACTGAAGACTTTTTAAAGAAGTTTTTGGACACCCAAACAATAAACCATTGTAATAGTCCAGTCTAGACGTGATAAATGCATGAACCAGTTTTTCTGCATCATTATTGGACAAAATGTTTCTAATTTTAGTGATATTACACAGGTGGAGGAAAAAGGTTCTGGTAACAATTTTTTTTTTTTTTTAATGTGGGGGTTAAAAAGACATGTCCTGATCAAAAATAAAACCAAGATTTTTAACTTTAGAACTGGAGGCCAGATTAATGCCATCCAGAGAAAGTGAAAGACTGAAAAATCTATTCCCAAGATGCTTGGGTCCAAAAACCACAACCTCTGTCTTGTCTGAGTTTAAAAGCAGAAAATGAAGGGTCATCTAGACCTTTATATCTTTAAGACATGATTTTAAGTTAGTTTAGTTTGATTTTTTTATTTTTTGAATATGTAAAAAAAAAATACAGCTGCACTTTTTGTTTTACATATTCAAGGATTCACTTAAGTAGCTGATTGGATTCATCAGGTTTCATGGACAAATATAACTGTGTATCATCAGCATAACAATGAAAATTTATCCCATGCTGTTTAATAACTTTACCTAATGGAAGCATATGTAATATAAGGAGTATTGGTCCAAGCACTAAACCCTGAGGAACTCCATGACTAACTTAGGTATATGATGAAGATTCATTATTTACATTTACAAACTGGAATCTATCAGACAGGTATGATTTAAACCAATTTAGAGCCGTTCCTGTAATCCCAACATCATTTTCAAGCCTCTGTAGTAAAATATTGTGATCAACTGTATCAAATGCAGCACTGAGGTCTAACAGGACCAGTATAGACACAAGTCCATTGTCTGAGGCCATGAGAATATCAGTAGTGACTTTTACTAGTGCTGTTTCTGTGCTATGATGAGCTCTAAACCCTGACTGAAACTCTTCAAACAGAATATTTCTTTGTAGATGTTCACACAACTGACCTGCAACTACTTTCTCTAGAATTTTTAGATGACAGATTAGATGTCTAATGGATTAGATTAGATTAGATTTGATTTGATTAGATTAGATAGATTAGATTAGATTAGATTAGATTTTGTCATAAACTCTCAGAAATTGGTTTCTCAGATCATACCATTGGTTGGTTCATTAACTACCTCTCAGATCATAGACAATGTGTTCAACATAATGGTACTCCTTCCATTTAACGGTTAACACTGGTGTACCTCAAGGCTTAGTCTTAGGTCCCACCGTCTTCACAATCTACATAGGTAATATAGGTCAGACCATCCCTGATGCATCCTTACATTTCTGTGCTGATGATACAGTTGTTTATTGTGGAGCTAAAACAGTTGCTAAGGTTTTCCAGCTTTTGCAGTCTGCTTTTGACATCATCCAGTCAGATTTGTTTAGTTCTACATGCTGACAAAACTAAAGGGATGTTGTTTTCAAACAGGAAGTCAGTCCCAGCAGTTCTTCCTTTGATTTTATCCTCGAATGGTGTCCCTATTGAGTTTGTCAATTCCTACAAATATATGGGTATCTTGGTCGATACACATCTCTCCTTTAAGCTCCACGTGGAAAACTTTGTAAGGAAACTGAAAGTTAAATTGGGTTTCTTTTTCAGAAACAGATCCTGTTTTACTCTGAATGCTAGGAAACGCCTTGTGACTGCAACTTTCCTTCCCTTTCCTCCATTGACTACAGTGACATAATTTACATGAACACATCTACAAGCACCTTGCAGATGTGTGACGCTGTCTCTCAAGGTGAGCTAAGATTCATAACTGGCTGTAACTACTGTAACCACCATTTCACCCTGTATTCATTGATCAACTGGTCATCATTAACTTGACACAGACTCTCTCACTGGTACATTTTTATCTTTAAATCACGTCTTGATCTGTTGCCTTCAGACATCTTCTCCTACATGTCTCTGCGTGAGTGCAGCTACAGTGTGCACTCTCAAGACATTGCAGTGTTCCCTCAGTGAGGACTGAACTAGGCAAAATGGCCTTCTCCTACTCTGCTCCTGTTTCCTGGAATATCTTACAAAAAGACCTGAAGCTCTCGACCTTGACCTCTCTAAGTGGCTTTAAACATCTGTTAAGTTCATGGCAAAAACCAATGCAGACATGTTCCTGTTTTAAGTTTTCTACATCGCTTTACAACCTAGCTGTTTTTGTTTCATTTTTTTAATACCAATTTCTTTTATTTGTTCTTCTCAGTTTGTATGCTTTTCATGATTGTCTACTGTTGGCATCACTCTTTGTTAAAATCAGGTCTCTT